ATTTATAGATTAATACTTATTAGAGATTAAACTATTATTTAAGATTACACTATTTCTTGACTAATTTAATATATTTTTAGTATTTATTATATATCTATTATATTTTCACTATAAACTTATTTTCAATGATTGTGTACGTTTGGTATAAATTTTCAATAATTATTGGAGATTAAACTATTGTTATTTATTAGAAATTATATTATAAATTTAGTTGAAATTAAGAGTGTTCAATGATTGGTTCAGTTCAGTTGCAGGCTGTTTTGCCAACCAAATCGATCTGGTCAAGTTCGTAATTTGTCACTCGAAACCGATTGACCATTAGCGAAAACCCACCAACTCGGGTTGTATCGATTTGGGTCTATTTTTTGTTTAGTTTGTTTGTTTAAAAGATTTAAACTTAAAAATTAAATTTAAAATATTAAATATTTATATATTATATATATTTATTAAAACCAAAGCCGATCTGAAATATTAGAAAACCGACCAACTCAGGTTGAGTTTGATCGAATTATTTATTAAAAATTTAAAATATAAAACAATTATATACTCTTATGTATTTTGATTGTTTAACTTTTGCTTAACAAAGCACGGGTCCTCGTCACCATGCCTCTCCTTGCTCAATTATCCCCACCATGCACTCTCTTTGACTTTCTCTCATCTCCCTTTCCCACCACTCCCAGTAAGCCATGTCACCCAACTACCTAAAAATATTCCTATAATATCTCTCCTAAGGTATCTCATTTAAACCCATGGTTTTCAAAACCGAATCAGATCGGACGGTCGGATCGGAAAAATCGGAAACCAATCAAGGACCGGTTCCGTTTCCCCCCAAAACCGGATTTTATCAAAAAAACGTTGATTTTGGTCAGCAAACCGCTAAATCGGGCAGTTAACCGTTCAAACAGTTTTGACTGTTATTTATTAGTTTTTTTTGTCAAAATAGGCCGATCATTCAGTTCGAACGATCGGACTGTTCGACCCAGTAACTAGACCCTTGATTGGTTCGGTCTCCAGGTTGGTTTTAAAAACCATGTTTCAACCAATAGGAAAGTCTCATGTTGCCCCACTCCYTAATCAATTCCTAAAATGCATCCCCCTAATTTATATCCACTCTCCCTCATTTAAAGTATTCATATTAATTAATAAATAGTTAAATACAGTTAATATTTAATCCCACCCATATTCAATGAGTATTAAATAGTGTTATTACCAAAAGTTAATAAATACAGTTAGTAAATTACCAAAAATTAAAATTTCTTATTAGTACACTTAGTAAATTACCAAAAATTAATAAATATGGTTATTAATTAACTCATTAACAATATTTTATAGAAATTGAAAACTCTTTAACTAATTTCTATAAAATTGAGAATTATATTTAACATTTATCAAAAAGTATAAAATTTTAGTTATTGTTATTATTATAATAAATAACTAAATACAAATGGGGGAACAAAATATTATAATGTTAGAAAATAAAATTATTAATTAATTTATATTGAAAAATAAAAGATAAATTAGTGTAATTTTGTTAGTAAACTACCAAATAAAAAATATATTTAATAACAATTTAAAAAAAATTCAATAAATCCCCACAGTTACACAAATGTAATAATATTATCAAAATTTTCCATAAAACTATATTTTCATAAAATAACATTTTTGAAATCCCCAATAATTACACAAATTAATGGAATCCACTCATTACTACAGCAATTAATTTCTGTAATTAATGGAATTTACTGATTATTACAGTAATTTAATTAATGGAATCTACTGATTATTATTAATTACTGTAATTTAATTAATGGAATCTACTGATTATTACAGTAATTTAATAAATATATAATTAGTGATTATAATTAATAATTACTGTTATTATAAATATTGTTAATAACTAGATATTTACTTTAAAATTATAAAAACTGTTATTAAAGAATATTGTTAATAAATTACTGATTATTACAGTAATTTAATAAATATATAATTAGTGATTATAATTAATAATTATTGTTATTATAAATATTGTTAATAAATAAATATTTACTTTAATTTAAAATTATAAATATTGTTATTAATAAATACTGTTAATAAATTTAGTAATTATTGTTATAATAAAAATGTTACTAAAAGTATTGCTATTGATTATTTAATAAAATATTATAATTGCTGGCTATTACTGATAAATACTGTTAATTTAATTTAATTTTGGTAATTATTAATTTAATTTAGTTTTAATAAATAATATTATTTAAACTATCATTAATGATTATTTAATTAAATAGTATAATTACTTACTATTATTGACAAATGTTGTTAATAACGTTCTGACAACCAATGGTTCAACCGTCCGATTCGAACAGATGGCCCGTTTTGACAACAAAAGTTAGAAGCAAAAAATTACAGAACCATTCTGGCCACCGGTTTTTGGATCGATAATTTGATCATCCGATTCAAACGAACGGTCTGTTCTGACAACAAAAATTATAGGCAAAAAATTTAGTTTGTGAGGTCCATTAAGTAGTATCATATGTGTTATGTCATTTGAGCGTATGAATCATATGAATCGAAAACGGAACCATTCTGACCACCGGCTTTTGGGTCGACGAGTCGATCATTTGATTCAAACGGGCGGCCCATTATGACAACAAAAAATTACAAGCAAAAAATTATGACACCGTTGTGGTCACCGGTTTTCGGGTTGACGGTTCGATCATCTAGTTTGAACGGACGACCCATTCTGACAACAAAAATTACAAGCAAAAAATTGAGTGTGTGAGGTCCATTAAGTAGTATCATACGAGTTATGTCATTCGAGCGTGTGACTCTTATGACCCAAAAATGGAAATGTTATGGCCACTAATTTTCGAGTTGACGATTCGACCGTCCGGTTCGAACCGATGGCCCGTTCTGACGACAAAAATTTAAAAATAAAAAAAATGGTCAAAAACCATTGAATGGGTCAATGGGTTAACGATTCAACCACTCGGGTCAATGGTCGTTGACCGATTCAACGTTTTTAGGCCAAGGGCCGGGATTGGGGTGAAACGGAACTGGTTGCCTGGACGGTTCCTAGTTAAAAAAAAAATGGACGACCTGTTCTGACAAAAGAAAATTACAGGCAAAAAATTGAGTGTGTGAGGTCCATTAAGTAGTACCATTGTTTTATATCATTCGAGCGTGTGACTCATACGACTTGAAAACGGAATTGTTTTGGCCACCAATTTTTTGGGTTGACGGTTCGACTGCTTGGTTCGAAAGGATGGCCCGTTCTAACAACAAAAATAAATAAAAAAAAAAGATTACCAAAAACCATTGAACGGGTCAACGGTTCGACCGCTTGGGTCAATGGGTCGTTGACCGATTCAACGATTTCTGGCTAGGGACTGAGATTAGGATAAAATGGAACTGGTTGCCTAGATAGTTCCCAATTAACAAAAAAAAAAAAACAGCCAAAAACCATTGAACGGGTCAACAAGTCGACGATTCGATCGCTCGGGTCAATGGGTCATTGACCGATTCAACGATTTTTGGCCAGGGACTGAGTCAACGGATCGGCGGTTCCATTCCAGCCCCTGTGAAGGAGGGCCACTCCGCTAGTTAAAAGATATAAAGTATTTGAAAGTTTATTTAAGATGAATTAAATAATTATTGAAAATTATTAAATATTTTGGAAATTTTAGGAAAATTTATTACATTTGATAGATTTTGGAAAACCATTGAAAAATTATGTAATTTTCATTGCAAATTATTGAAAATTATTAAAGATAAATGACTATGGGAAATGGAAAACTATAATTTGAACAAATAATTACACAAAGTATTAAGATAAATTAGTATAATATTAGAAAAAGGAAATTATTGGTTAGTTTATATTCAAAATTATAAGATAAATTAGTATAATTTTGTAAGTAAACCATTTAAAAAGAAAATAAATTATTTAATAAAAATTTAAATAAAATTTAATAAATTTTCAAAATTACACAAATACAATAAAATTTCCAAATTTTTCATAAAATTACATTTTTGAATATTAAAGACACTTTAGTGTACTTTTAGAAATTAACCATGTGGTTGATACTCAATATATATCCTTTTGATCATTTCTATCATCAAATTGAATATTGGGTTGGCGGGGACAGTGTTTTTAAAATTGGATCAAACCAGATGGTTAGACCGGAAAAATTGGGAACCAGACACCGTTTCACCTCAAAACCGCTTTTTGTCCAAAAACCGTTTATTTGTTTAGTGAACCACTGACCTGGGCGGTTGAACCATCAACCCAGACAACATTTTTTTGCCTTTTTTTATTTTTTTTGTCAGAGCGATTCATCCGTTTAGACCAAACAGTCATACCGTTTGACCCTAGAACATTTCCCTATTTGGTTCAATTTTAAAAACCTTGGACGAGGAGTGGGTGCCTTGCCTTGAGCTTGGCTTGGTGTGTGTCATGGACTGGGGTGCTTTGCCCAGCATGACCCAATTTACACCTCTACTTGAACCCGCCTAATAATGGGAACGAGGCAGGGGAATTCGAGGATTCTCCATCCTTGATGAGGAGTGGAGTGCCTTGCCCCTAAACTCGCCCAACATTGAGGACATTGAGGAGTGGTTACCTTGCCCTAAACTCGCGTGACATTGAGGACAGAGCGGGGATGGGGTGCCCTGCCCTGAACCCTCCCCATTGTCATTCCTATATAATTGTTAATCATTAGTATAATTAATAAAAGTGTTAGCTTTTATAACTAATTTTATTTATTTAAAATTAATCAAAATTTTATTTAAAAATAATAAAATGAATAAATTTATTAGTTACTACAAATTATTAATAAAATTAAATTTATTAAAAAATATTTGTTCATATTCAATTAACAATAATTATTTTTTTATAAATCAACATTAAATGAAAAATAAATTATTAAATTATTCATATTTTTTCGTGCATCGCACGGGTCCCTACTAATATATAAATTATTGGGCAAGACTCGTCAGCCGCGAGACGACGTTGCAAGAGAAAGCTGCAAGAGATTTTCTASCAGCGAAAACAAAAGGTAAGAGGTTTTTTCTTCCGTCTCTAATTCAATCTTTCTTAAGCATAGATCTTATCGCTCCTGATATTTTCCTCTTATTTATGCCTTCAGATAATTGTTTTATAAAATTTCAGCGTATGCTTGTCTCTCCGTTAGCAGATCCTTACTAAGATTTCTGCTTGTTTTTATGTCTTTTGGTAGATTTGGAGTAATGAACTGGATTCAGCGCAAGATCTACCTTTATAATGTTACCTTCGGTCTGTACATGTTGGATTGGTGGGAACGTTACCTGATCAGTATCCTTCTTCCTTTTTATTTCCAAAAGTTTCGATTTCCTTCTCTTTTTTCTTTTGTTTGTTTTTTTTTTTTTTTTTTTTTTTTTTCATTCGAATCCAGGGTTTTGCTGGAATAAGGATTCAACTGCTCCTCATATTTTTAATAAGAGGCCTTGGTTAGAAAGTTTGCGGTTTTGAAATGATTTACTTGCACTAAAAATCTGAAACTATAAATTGTGTGAGTTTTTTAATTTGGTATTGCATTTACTCTTTTTGGTAAATTACTTACAATACTCTCTCTTAGTTACAGTTCATTCTTTTATTGATGGAGATTTTAAATTTGCAAACCTAATTAAAGTTTAATTAATACATTTCTGGGGTCTAAAAGTAATAACAGTGAGAAGAAAATTCATAAATTTCTGGGGATATCTTAGTATGTAGTGTTTGTAGCTTCTTAACTTTAATAGATACATTGATGATCGTGTTGCTATGGTTTATTTGCTACAATGGATCACGATCTGCAGCTGAGTTTTATCGAAGGTAATGTGGTAATGTTTGTGCTTTCTTCCTGGTTTCCTTTCCGTTTTCAGATGTTAGATGTACATATGTTTACTATGCTGCCAAACTAAACCGCTTTTTGTCTAAAATTGAACCAACTATTGGTTTGTGAATGATATTTATGTTTTTTCTTGGAACAGTTTTTAATTTCTCCTCATGAAAAAAAAAACAGTTCTAAATTTCTCCTCATGGATATAAACTGACCAATTTCTGTTATTTATGACTTTATGGCTTATGCCTTGTCCACTTGTTCCTTATATTACAATTCAGGCTTGTATTGATAATGTCATTCCACGAAGAAGGGAATGTTATTTGTTACCTGTTATTCTCAACACACCAAATCCTTATCCCAAATTTTTGTTTGCTATTCTATTGTGAATTGTATTTTGCACTATTTGCATTCATCAGAGTCAAGATTCAGTTTTCCATTTTATCAGGCACTACCTGCCTGCATCAGCTTAGCTGTTTTATAGAAGTCGGTCAAGCTGTCAACTCCTACCAGTCTTAGTAGTTACGTGGACTTCCTCCATCATATACTAGTAACCTGATTTCTTTTTGAACATGCATATACAAGTGCTAAATAAAGGCAAACATTTAACAAAACCACACATGATTGTTTCATCCATCTTCTATGCTTGGTTGTCCTCACCTATGTATTATTKCAGTTCTTTGGTTTTCTTTGCGGTATTTTCATAAATGTGAAATTTATTATGATATTGGATGAATAATCGTTATATTCTAGGAAACTGTGAAATTCATTGAAGTGGTTCATGAAAAGAAACAGAATTGTGTACAAAAGTTAACTTTTCTGAGTATCTCCTATTATTTGATACAAGCCTCATTTCTTGAAAATGGTCCTGTTTCTTCATTTCAATGCAAAATGAGAAACTAACTACATTTTCTCATTTAAGGTTATACATATGCATATGCCATTTCCAATAAAAAAAGGTTTTATATATGCATATACATGCTAAAAATGCCACAGGCTAGGTCCATATCCAGTCCAGCCCTCCCAAGACTTGGGATAGCCAAAAGCAGTATCTGGTCTAGCCTTAACAAAGGTATCCATTTATAGAGCCAACCCTATATAGTTTGGATAAGGCTTTGTTGAGTTGGATTAAAAAATAATGCTCCCTTATTGGGCTATGTAGCAAACCACTCCCATAGTTCATGAAAATGACTGTACCCCTTTAGATTGTGATCAGAGATGTATTTCTTCAGTACATATGGATTTAAAAAGACGGATTCTCAAAAAGCATCTGAGCAACTTCTATAATAGAACTTGAAAACTCTAGATGTATTTCTTTAGTACAAATGGATTCGAAAAGATGGATTCTCAAAAACACTGAGCAGCTTCTATAAGAAATGGATCTGCAGTCCCAATCTGTGCAAATTGGGTGACGTTCTAGCCTTAGTGAATGGATTCACATTCTCCCAGGAAAACAACCTTAATTAATACTCTCTAAAATTATCAGAGCATGTTTTGCACACATATTTGTTTAAAAGTAGGTTTGATACTTCCAGATGCACCATTTAAATCTCTAACCATCTTTGGTATTAGGAACTAAGGTTATATTTGGTTTGAAGGAAAAGGTAAGGAAAGGAAGGGAAAGGTAAAGAAACCTATACAAGATTTGTAAAGGTTTCTCTCTACCTTTTCCTTCAAACCAAACATAGCCTAAAAGAAAACCTCCACTGTCACTCATCCTTGATTTCAGGTACCCAAAAAAAAACTTCTCTCTCACATGTCACACATGATTTTAGGAGATACATGTCTGCTATCTCTCAGCCCCTCTACACTCTCACTTGTAATGGAAATTTTCTTTCCTAGTTGGGTTGTTTGTTGTTTTAGTATTAATTAAGAGTTGAAATGGTTTTAAACTGATAAATATACTTTTTTAATAAAGTTGATATAGTACATGTCTATATGTATGTCCAACTGCTCTTCAAACTCCAATGCTAATTATTTTTAATTTTGGTGCTCTCATGTTTTAGGTCATGCTTTATTGCTGATTGAAAAAAAAATGTTTTAGGTCCTGCTTCTGCTTTCACTCTTTGGTCTGTGCTTTGGGCGTTTTTGTCTTGATTAATTGGATCTATCAAATCTAAGCAAATAGTGATTTTTACCTTTGCTCTTGATAATTTTTGCTAAAAATGACAAAGAAGCTATTTCATGCTAAAAATGCCAGAGGTTAGATCCATATCCAGCCAACCTCTCCCAAGACCCCAGTTAGCTAGGACCATTGGTCTTTTTCTTTATAACTTTTTTTGCCTGAGTATCTTTATTGTTAAATTTGGGAGTTTTAGACTTTCAAATAGGGGTGGTCATTTATATTCTGGCATGGAAATTTTCGGGCTGTGTGACTGGGCCTAGCCCATGGTCATCCCTATTTTTGAGATACTACATTTGGGAGAATATATAGAAAGCAATCTAAAACATTTTTTCTTTGGTCATTAGTTATTGGAGTTATTTTACCATGGAGAAAAGAACTGTAAGATGGTAATGAATGCTTGAGAATGGTTTAAGTAAAAAATAGGTCTTCCACTTTGCATTTTCCATTCAAAATCAAGACAACTTCAGTGGTTGCAGACACAAACAGATTCTTTTCTTATCTCAGGAAAGGAAAATTCTATTTTCTGATCGATGAGTACTGAGTTTTTTCATGGTTTTATTTTGACCATTTCTTTCTTACTCAAACACCTTAAAGAACTCTTTAGGTACCTTGCATTTGCCTCGTGAGCCTGTCAATTGTCATGCATCAAAAAGGAGGGAATGGTGAAATAAACTCAGATATCTTTTTGGGAAATTGGTGTTCTTTTCCTTTTTTAGATAACAAATTTCACTAACCATCAGAGAAAGCAAAAATGCAAGGATGAAACAAAATAAAAATAGGAACGCTGGTTATAAAATGTAATCTGGCTGTACTTTTTTTTCGCTATTTTTTGTTGTCTATTCTCTTTTAATTGCTGTACTTATTTTTGTTATGGACTTGCATTCTCCACCCACCCCTTAAGCAGTGATGCAGCATTATGCAATATCTATTGGAAAAGATACATGGGACATTTTGTATGACAATGTGTTCTGGAATGAATTGCCTGGATTAGCCAGGTAAAACATTTTGGTTGGATTTATGACCATTAGTGTTCCATGCCATGACATTAATCAGTTCCTGCTAGAGAATTCCATCGACTTAATGTGTTTAAATATTTCTGGTTTTGATATCTTAGTTTCTTTCGGTAGTAAAACTTTGTTGTATTCTAGTGAACTTGAATTATCAAGCACCATCACGATTACATATCCCAACTATGATGTTTATCTAGTTTATTGTTGTCATGTACTTACCGGTAGTGCATAGTAACATCAACTGACTGTTTTTTGTCCCCCAGCCATCTTAGGGTTAAGCTTGGGATTGGCACAAATTAACATCCTGGTGGACAAGGATTCTACGGAAGAAAAAAAACGTTAAGTAATACTTTTATCACAATTTGTATGAATAGAAGTTTCTTGGTGTTGTGGCATTCATTTATGCCCTTTTGTACATCAAATCCCTTTCATTGGGGATGCCTTTTTAATATGCCTCTCTAAACTACTCTAGTTTTCTTTAAAATGTTATACCATGTTTCTGGTGTTGCAGTGGGTTCTAAAATCAATCTGATTCTTGGCGTGCTATTGAATATTGACAATTTTAGACTGGGGTTTTCTTTTCCTTTCTTTCCTCTTTTCTCCTTTTCGTTCTGTGTTGGGATCATTTACTTGACCAAGGCTTAATTTACATCAGAGGTATACTCTGGATGGCAGATTTTGATTGTTAGACCTGATCTTCAATCGGATCGAATTGGGTGAAGCCAAATTCGATCGGAATATTGATTGTAAATGTATCTAATTTTTGAGATCTGTATTCGGTTTAATCAAATGGTTTCTTGTCCGTAGTTGGATTTGGACACTTGAATACTACTGGAAGCTCTACTTAATATAAATGGTTTGTTGTGGGTTTGGGGGCCGATTCTTACTCGAAAGCTATAGGAACTAGGAATCATGGTTTTTATTGCTGGAATTTATGCACAGAAATTTATTTATAAATTCAATTCAATTAACCAGTTCTATTAATCAATTTATGCCAATGTCCTAGGCCTAATTGCCTGAATGACAAGAGCGATGAAACTGTGAAACAGTGAAACTATATATGTGGCCTGTAAATTCCACATGTCCAGAAGCCGGATAGTCGGGACTCAGGACTCGGAAGTCGGAACCCATCACTTAATTATGACCAATGATCAGTTACGAAAGTGATCCCATAGCAAGTCTCTTCAAAATTTGACGGGTTATAGTAGAACTTAACTTGAAAACTATTGAATCCATGGTGGATAAAATGGTTTGATGTCATTTGAATGTAAGAGTGTAGTATCGGATTCAAGCTTTCCTCTCTTTGTACGTTGTGTGTGTAGGCTTCTCGCTGCTGAGACCCAATCAATTGTAGGCCTTGGCCTACTGAATATTCAGCCAATTTTGGGGTTAGGGATCATAGGTCTTCATAGATGATTAAAGCTTGCATGTTTCAATTATGAAACAAGGTGCTACACTTGCACCATCTGGTTCCAATATTTTCTCATTTTATGAAACAAGTTGACATTGACAAGGTGCCAACTGCTAACTGACAAGTTGGTAAAGTCTCTGGCTGGCTCTAGTGGACACTTGGGATCTAATCCGGGGTGGGGATATGCTACCCCTTAGATCACATCAGTGCCCCACATGTACATCTGAGCGTGCATTGAGAACATTACTTAATGGGAGATGTTTCCAATACATGGTTGGAATGTGCTGTGTGGACATTGATGTAAACTCCCTTGTGTAGCGTTGTAAAGCAAAATAAATAAATAGATAAATAATAATTGATGAAGAGATTGAAGTCAAATTAAAAAAACAATAAGCTTTCAAGTTTCTAGCAAATGTAAAGGTTCCATTCTTTTTAAAGAAGAATTGCTTGAGAATTAAAATTTTTACCATGTTTGGAATTTCTATATATATATATATATATATATATATATATATAAGGTTTAAAGTATCGGTTGATACATATCGTTCCGGGACCCCTCTGATACATTTTTATAGTGGGTGCATCGAGAGTTTGACTGGTTCAGGGGGTGGAAGAGTCTTAAATCGGCCCCCCTGAACTAGCTGTGAAAAAAATTAAAAAAAAAACATAAAAAAATAGTATCGATTCGCTCGATACACCCTTATCGACGTATCGGGCGTATCGATATTTTGATTGGGGTTTTGACTGATTCAGGGGGTGGAGGAGCCTTAAATCGGCCCCCTGAACCGGTTTTGAAAAAATAAAAAAAAAGGTTCGATACTACCTGATACGCCCCTACTAGCATATTGGGCGTATCGACATTTAGAACCTTGTATATATATATATATATATGGTCATTTACTATAACACCCCTTATAGTTTGCAACCTATTTACTTAATCGACCTTTCATTAAAAATTATTTGTTTTGCCATATGAAAATAGAAACATGATCACCTAAACAAAGTGGAAAATGTTCAAGGGCATGGACCGATGGTTGTTTATTCCAAAAGTAGTCCTAACACTTTTTTGTATAGAAAACAAAATTGACCAAATAAAGTGGTTGTCCATGTTTTATTAGGGGCAAAAATGGTATTTTTATTTTTTATTTTCTTTTAATTAAATTTATTTGAATGGATGTTAGGGTTAAAACTATAATTTTCCACTATCATCTAATAGAAGGTTGATTAAGTAAATTGATTGCAAACTATAGGGGATGCTTTAGTAAATTCATGGAACTATAGGGGTGTTTTAGTAAATGACACATACATACATATATATATATATATATATATATTCCAGGTTGGGATGGGATGGGGACTTCACTCCCCATCCCTATCCTTAGCCCCATGGGGTTGGAGAGGCAAGATACTTGGTGAGACAAGGAAAATTGGCGTTCCTGTGTATTATATATGGGAAGGGGCGATAGCTTGGTCAAATTGGGATTAAATCATTTAGGGTGTATTTGGTTTGAAAGGAAGGAAAATTTCCTACCTTTTTCTTTCACACCAAACATAGTTTACTCAGTTTGGAAGGAGTATAGTACAAAACCTACAAAATCTTGTATTTTGTATGTATTTATACTGTACATATTTGTATTTACACTCTTTCCAAACTGTGCCTTATTTGGATAGAAGTGAATCATGTGCCAAATCCAACTTGACATCATTAGTTCCAATTTGGAAGAAGTACAAATACAAATATGTAGAGTGTAAAACCTGTATTTTCTATTATTTTGCATGTATTTACTGTACATATTTGTATTTTCTATGTTTGGTTGCAATGCAATCTTACTTGCACTAATACAGATGTATGAAAAAGCAAATTCCGGTCTAATTTTGGTTTGGGTTTTACTTCATTATGTTTCAAGTTTTATTTTACTTCATTTGTATTACAAATAAAATAAGGTAAATTTTGAAATAATAAATCAAAATTTGGCCCAAAATCATTTGCATTACCTTAAATTTGCATCAATACAAAATTTACTTGCAGTGCAACCAAACACAGCCAGAATGGTTACAATTTGTGCGAATTTGGATTGAACTTTTGTCAAATTTTGAGTCAACCTAACTTCAAAGTGGTGTAAAACATTAACTCAAGTTGGGCCAACCCATGTTGCACCCTATTTCCACACATAAATCAGTTTACGCTCCCACTTCTATGCATTTGTAGTTTGCACCAATGGCTGTGTTTGTTTGCGATACAAACGTCGAACCGGGGTATTTATGTACTCCGGTTCGCGTTTGCAAGCGTTTGTTTGCGATACATATATGTATCGAAAATGAGTGCAAAACTATATTTTCTGACATGAATGTATCGAACGAAGAGTGCATTATTGCCTCGATTTTTTTTATGCAATCTTGCTCTCTTCGCTTGACGATGTAATTAGGGTAGGCATTTGCTTTCGACCATGTGAGAAAAATAGATGTTCCGGGTGAGAGGAAATCTGCTGCGCCACCACCTTCTAACGGTACTTTCTCACTTCCATTTCCGATCAAGGCATGGTTGTCGGTGGTCGGCAATCAGTATCTTGTGCTTTTTCTTTGACTTGTGTTTTGTTATGTCGACTGGTTGCGAGGTTCCTGCCGATCTGATAAGAGGTTGAAGATCTTCACTTCGATCTACACAAGGTAATGTTAGATCTGTCTTGAGCTTCACAGATCCGGTATTTTGCTTCAACTAATAAATGTTTTCATCATTTTTTGTCGATTCTTTCTCAGACCTAGCCAAATTTACACATCTTCCGCTCTGTCTTCAACAATCAAGTACATGCATGGTGAAATTCTTCTTATTTGTTATTCTGCTTCCTAATTAATCATTTTTTATGTTATCATTCTTGTTTGATGAAGATATCTTCTTGAATATGTGATATTTTCATTTGAAGGTATATGTATGATATTTGCCTTTGAATATGTGATCCAATCTCTGCTACCAACTAGTCAATGACCCCTATGGGGCCTTTCTTTTTCCTTGTTCTAATTTTTGTGACATAAAAGATTATGAAACTAAGTACTAACCATGATGTATGATATTTGCCTTTGAATATGTGATCCAATCTCTGCTACCAACTAGTCAATGATCCCTATGGGGCCTTTCTTTTTCCTTGTTCTAATTTTTGTGACATAAAAGATTATGAAACTAAGTACTAACCATGAACCTTGCAATTAGGATTTGCATCTCCAAACTGATGGCTTCATTTGGTGGACAAGCCAGGGTATTGGGCTCTAATGCCATGCATTCTTTAAGGGATTGAATGGAGAGATTGAATGTTCAAAATAATGCAATATTAAATTGACTTATACTAGAAATAATGCAGTATTTAATTGGTTCATGCAACTTTACTCATGGTTCCTTGTACCCAACTATTTCCAAATTAAATTGAAAAGTTTGGGCCAATGATAAATTAGATATTTGGGATGACAATGCATCAAGTTTTATCTAAGCACATTAGCAACACTGGGTTATTGAGAATTTGTTCAAGTTTTATCTAATCATATTAGCAACATTGGATTATTGAGAATTTGTTCAAGTTTTATCTAAGTACATTGACAACACTACAACCCATGAGTTACTTTAGGAAGGTAATTGAGAATTTGTTCAATGTTTTGTTTCACTACAACCCAAAGAATAGTTTTTTTCCTCTGCATGTTCTTTGTAGCCTTTGTATAAATCTTTTAATTTGTCTACCAAAATGGCTGCACAAAGCTAACCTATCCCACCAGCAACATCTAGTCCATTCCATTACAGGAAATGGACTGAGTTCGGACACCAACCTTGAAAAAAATTAAGTAAGAAATATAAAAATATGTAAACAAACTAATGGATACACCACTATAAATTAAGGACTTATGATGCATATCTAGGTCTTCATAAAGGATCTAACCTATCTTTCCACAATCTATGTAATCCAACACTCATTAAATCATTCATCAGATCATAGTTTGGAGCAACACTACTGAAAACATTACCAACCAATTTACTCTTTTCTTCTTTCTTTACCTCCTTGACAGAGAAACTTATGCATTTTTATAAAGCTAGACAGTCTAGCCCCTACCAAATAAGATGCATTTTTTAATACCAATCCATTGCATCAGAAAAATCCCTTTCTATCTTCATATGATTTTGATGTTTGGATCTAGTGTATGAAGGTGAAGTATTAAGGAGGGGGAGGTTTAGAGTGGGTTGGCTGTTGATGTAAACATCTTGTTCCACTTGCTGCCAATTTGGCTAGGGGAGGCATGGATAGAGCCAATTCTTATTGTTTGTTGGAACATTACACAGATATGTCTCAACAAATTAAGGTCCAACATAGATATGTCCCAAGATATCTATATCTCGAAGATTTTAGGATTGAAGGACTTAAAGTAAGGGT